GAGACCAGTGGAGTATCTTAGATGGCTGCTCACAGGCTTTTAAGACCCCAGATGTGACTCACCAAGGAAGAATGTAGAACATTGTCTTTATAAACTGTAATAAAAGGATTTTTATACAATATTTTTAGTGCTATACAATCTATTGTCACAGCCACCCACAATTTAGGTATCAAAAATTGAAATATTCAACTTGGTAGTTCCAAGGTAGAATCTAAAACGTCTAAGTCCCTGTCCTCAGAAAACTTAAAATCTAATATGGAAGACTGTAGCTAGCTCTGTGGACAGTGTATTTAGTATACATGAATTTTCTAAATGAATGGTTCAGAGCAGTGTGGTAATGAGGTGAGTGATGGAGAGGGAGACTCAGCTGGATCATGAAGGGTGGATTGAATTTGGATGAAGGCCATTTAAAATGGCAGAAACAATTTACGGAGGAGCAGGAAATGCCAGAAGTATTTGAGAGGGAAAGAGTAGATCAGAGTGGTTGGAGACGGGTGTGTGTAGGGAAGAAGCAAGAGATAATGCATGTAAAGCACATAACTTAGCACAGGTCGTGGCTCATAATTAAAAAAAAAAAATAGTAAAACCAAACCTGTTGCCATCGAGTTGATTCTGACTCATAGTGACACTATAGGACAGAGTAGAACTGCCCCATAGGGTTTCCAAGGAGCACCTGGTGGATTCGAACAGCTGGCCTTTTGGTTAGCAGTCGTAGCTAATAAATATTAACTATAATAATGCTATTTAAAAAAGAAATTTCGCTGTTTTGTTTTAAAAATAGTCCTTTTTACCTTGGTTAGTAGTTGGGACATGAGTGCTTGGGAGAGAGATAAGGGCTCAGATATAGATTCTGAAGTAATACTTACTGATTTTCAAGAAGGAGAGTTTGATCTCTGTTGACAAATGTTGGACAAATGAAGGGCATTGGGGTCTGGGTGAATCTGCTAGAGAGGAGGCTATTGGTGAATTTGAGAATACAGTTTCCCCAGTGTGGTATGGGTGAAAATCAAATTGGAAGGGGTTCAGGAGTACAGGGTTTGTGCAGTAATGTGGGCAGCGTCCATACTTGCAAGATATTGGCAACGATGCCCTGTAAATTATTTTTGTGTATATTTCTAGCCAAATGGCTTTTAAAACGTATACATTTGTATGTATATGTGTGTGTACACGCCCACACATGTCTGTATTGTATTAGAGATGCAGTACGTAATTGGTTGATTAGTTAATAAGTGCTTTGATGAAAAGCACTCTGAAGAGCTCTGTTGTAGTATATAATTAAATAATTATTTGAATAAATGTACTAAGTGAAGAAGTACTATGAGCAATAAACTGTTTAGTCTTGAATTAACAGATTCTTATGAGGGTGTTATATCACTTAAAAAATTCTTTTTTTATTTCACCAAGGGATCAAAGGTTAAAGGAAAATGACCAGATATTGGCCATTAATCACACGCCACTGGATCAGAACATTTCCCATCAGCAAGCAATTGCATTATTACAACAAACCACTGGATCTTTGCGTCTGGTTGTGGCCAGAGGTCCAGTCCACACAAGAAGCAGTACTTCCACCAGCCTAAGTGATACAACTCTGCCTGAAACCGTGAGTTGCAAACTTGGAAAAAATACATTATTTTGAATTACGCCATTGATTTTATAAAGTGTAAAGACATTTAGAAGGTGATCATCAAGAAAGATGATCCTATGTCCAAATGCTGCATTAGCATATTAAAACAAGATATTTCATGGGGTTTTTTTTGGTCTTTTCAAGATCTTATGAGTCTCTTTATTTAATATATTTAATATTATTTAATATAGAAGGCAAATTGAAGTATTAGTATAATTTATTTCGTGATAGAAAGAGTCTTGTGTTCTTTTGTGAAGTACCCAGTTAATTAAGTGGAAGGTTTTTATTAGATATTTACTATCTAGTGTCTTAGTAAGATTTGGTGATTTATTTCAAAAACATTATTTCTGTAAAATATGTTGGGGCTTATGACTTGATTATTGATACTACAAAATTGTTGCAACTATTTCATGTAAGGATCTCTACTGAACAATTTTTTTAAAAATTTTTTTTATTGTACTTCAGGTACAGGCTTACAGAACAAATAGTTTCTCATGAAA